CTTTGGTTTCCATCGCTGCGTATTGTAACTGTGGATGTGGCCAAAGACTGGGGGGGTTGGGAGGGGTGGTGTCTACTTCCTTTAAGAAATATTTAAGTACTGTCAGGTCTTCTGGGAGTTCATCTGCTCAGAACTGTATAAAAATGATAAAGACAAAAAAATCTGTGGCTTCGTGAAGCCAGAGCAGGCTTCTCCTCTTAAAGAGGAGCAGCCGTGGAGAGGAGGGGAAGACACGCATGGGGCGTTTCACCTCAAAATGCTCCCAGTTTTCTCATCGGGTTTGTTGTGCCTTGAACTTTTTTTATTTAAGAAATCAAAATAAAAGTGGATGCACTGACGGTGTTGAGAACTTGAGATTGAATGGTGCTACTTGATTTAGGTGTGTAGGCCCTCGTATGTTGTGCCCATCGAGTTTTACGAAAGTTGTTTTATTGCACATCTAGAGTTTTATATAGATGTCTTGGATATGTGTCCTTAAGCTTCCAAATATCGTGTGAGGAGACAGAGGAGGAGAAAAATAACGCAGCTTGTTTACAAAGGGGAAGGGTTCTCAATGTTTAAAAAAAAAAACAGGATTTATTTGGGACCAGGGGATTTAGCAGTCGGGGGAATTTAGCCATTTGCACAGATTTCTAGATTCTACTTTTGCTGCTAGTTTTGTGTAATTTATTAAGCATTTTTGACAAATATTTATTTTTGTAAGCCTCAGAGTGATTCTTTGAAAGTTTCAGAAACTTGACCAAAAGACAGTTCAAAAAAAACACTGGCACTTGAATGTTGAATGTCACCTGTATGCGTGAAATTTATATATTTCGGGGTAGTGTGAGCTTTTTAATGTCGAAGATACATTGGACTCAGTAAATAATATCCACAGCTGTTTCAGGGCCTCCTCAGGGCCAGTCATCTCTATTAGATAATACTAATTGGTCAACGAAATTTGAAACAGAATCTTAACAAACATGCCAAGGTTTGGAATAATGCTGTCTAAAAAGCAAATAAATTTCCTAAGCATATCAGTGCAAAAGTGTTCAGATTCTCCAATTGTGTGCATTAATAACTCTTTATTCTAATTTGACCTGATGATTATTTTTCTCCAGTGAATGTCTGGCACATGGCAATCCTTAAAGAAACAAACATGTGGTTTATTCTCATTGTTGTATTTGCATATATGACACCTCTGGCGTTCTCTGGGAACGTGGAGCAGGTCTGCAGCGCTGATCTTTTACGCAGCAGCTCTTTGGGCTGCTGGGGGTTAACAGGAGGCTCTGTGCATGCTGACTGCAGGCAGAACCCGGAGACTTGCTCCACGGTCTGCGGAGAACCTCTGAGCTCTTTAGGTGTAGACTTTGCTTTCTGTATTAGCTTATAGGTAACTGCACTGCATGGGAAATACTCAGCTGTGCAAATTGTATGATTTTACCAAAATAAAATGTTTGAATGCAAAAGTATCTGGATAAATCAAGCATGTTTCATCGAAGACTTGTTTGATATAGACATGCAAAGAAAACCTGTAGCAAACAGCCTGTGGCCAACGGCCAGCAAAATTCAATTTAATAATGGTGATTGGATGGATGGGTTTCATTTCTTTTGAAGAAACTACATAAAGATTTCATTTGTAAATTAAACTGTGTCAGTTGATTTATTTATTTTTTTGTTTTTCTGCTGAGCTCAGTGTGTCACCTCCTATGGTTTTGTATTTGCTGGGATTCAAGCTTATTCTCAGTCTAATCACAGGTGCGTGTCTACAGCTGATCCATTAACGGGGCAAGGGGGATGCCATTGGCTGTATCCCAATTCAGGGTCTGCAGCCTTAAAGTACGCAGCCTTAACGGTCCACAAGGGCCGCGTACTCAAAGACCGCTAAGTGGGAGGTTTGTGAAATGGGACCGTCTAGCCTCCATCGCGCTGCCCAGGTTGCCTAGCAACCATGATACTAACAGCTGGAAACGTTTCATACAGCTTTGTTTGACAGAAATGAAGGAGAAAATCTTTTGTTCATTTGTTTGTTTGTTTCTACATGAGCTTTGATCATTCTCTGTAAGATTACAGTCAACTAATGAATGGCGTATATTTTAAAGTAAAGGCTTTAAAACCAAGTTAGTACAAACGTCACTAACGATATTACGTGCTGCACAATAATGTTTAATATTGAGTATCTGTTATATTCCCATATATCATCGTGATGTTGTTTATTGTATTGCTCTCGTTTTCTTCTGCTTGTTTTCTTTTTTCTTTCTCAACAGGTGATCCAGGTGATTGATATATGTATTTTTTGTCTGCTTATTTAGTGGATTTTTGTTTTTTTGCCCTTTATCCCCGTCCCTCTTCTCTGCTGTTTTTCCCCCTCTTCTTTTCTCCCTTTTCTTTTCCTCATTCAAGTCTGTCCCGTATCTAGTAAGTGAAAATAAAAAATAAATAAAATAAACAATAAAAGGTGAATCAAATAGACCCTTGCTGGGATGGTCAATTTGGTAAAGTAAATCTGTTGGGCATCTTTCTTCGCCCTTAGACAATAATTTTGATGGCAAAAGAACCAAACGGGACAGGCAAAAAGAAAAAAGAAAAAAACATTTGCACATAAATAAGTGACATAATATTCAGTACATACTTAAAGTTTACTCTTCGGGCGCCCCTCATCCGCTGTTTTTTTTTCGGCAAAATTATCCACACCCACCGCCGCGCTATGCATTCTGGGATATGTTAGGCCACGAAGTCTACACCACCAGGTCCTTAAAATTCAAGGAAATGAAGGACGAATTTGAGGGCCGCATTTCGAGCAGCCTTTGAATTGGGACAGCCTTCGTCGTGTCGCTGTGACGTAATTGGCCTTAAAATGCGGCCTTTAAGGCTGCAGACCCTGAATTGGGATACAGCCACTGTTTACTGTTGCAGTTCCCAACACCACTGAATGAGATGGACTAAATACTTGAGTACAGTTTTAATGGACTTAAGTATTTCTTGAGCTGCTTTCCATTACTACTTAACTACTAAGCATTTCTAGTCAAATATTCAGGTTTCTGGCAGCTTGCACACATTTAATAGGACTGAACGGTGCTTCCACTCATGAAGCTGTCTCTCAGTTGTAGACTGACAGTGGATATGCCTTCCTCCTTGAAAGCTTGTCTCTGACAGATTTAATTGGAGTTCCAGTGACCAAATACAAATAACATTTCAACTCCTGATCTTTTATCAATTTGATTTGTTAATGCCGTAATGAGGGAACAGGCCTCATGTGGTCATGAAACTTCTTGTCCATCGATTTTCCAATTAATTTCAAGCCTTAGACATTTTTATGCATAGTTACCGTTTGTCAAATTGTTAAGCAGGTTATGTAATTCTTTGTAAAATCCCTTCAGTTAAGTCTGCACTTGATTTAATATCCACTGTAGTATACAGGAGCAAATTCACATGGTGTAAATGCAGTACATCTTAGAAAGTTTGAATACCTCACTCACAGCTACAAAGACGAAGTCAGGTTGTTGATTTTGTTTTCATGCCAGTGCACAGCAATGAGGTCGCTGAATTCAGTCATCGAGACATGTGACCTAAATCTCAGGCATGACCTAGATTCAGAGGGCTGCCCTTCCCTGTATGCTAATATTCTCTCCACCTGTTGTGGAGAACCACATGTTCAAGGAGCATGGGAAGCTTGTGTGTAGAACAAGTGAAACCCATTCTAATAAAATAAAGAAAAAAAACTGACCTGTGTTTTAGTCCTCTACAGATGGTCTCTACTTTGGCCATCTGTGGCAGCTTTTTAGGCAGTCAGGACACACAACAAATATATATCTTTCATCCTACATAAAAAACATGTTTAGTCCAATTTACAGGGGTTTTCATGTTACTCTTAAAAGGTTACATGGTCTCTAAGTAGGTTTCATAACCACTGAGTCAGTGACACCCATTGAAAGCCTGTTGTATAATTTCTGTGTCATGTTGTGAGAATGAGGTTTTAGGGCACGGGTGTCGCACTCCAGGCCTTGAGGGCCGGTGTCCTGCAGGTTTTAGATGCGTCCTTGATCCAACACAGCTGATTCAAATGGCTAAATGACCTCCTCAGCATGTCTTGAAGTTCTCCAGAAGCCTGGTAATGAACTAATCATTTGATTCAGGTGTGTTGACCCAGGGTGAGATCTAAACCCTGCAGGACACCGGCCCTCGAGGCCTGGAGTGCGACACCCCTGTTTTAGGGTCATTTAAGAGCCTCAGATATGGGGAAAGATGCTGATCCATGAAGCTTGTATGGCACAGGCAGCCTTATTTAACTAACTGCTCTCAATCGCTTCTCTCCGACCCAGCAGTGACGACGCGATAAATATCTGTTCCATTTCAGCATCTGCATTATATATAGTTTGACATCCAACATTCAATTCAATTCAATTCAATTCAATTTTATTTATATAGCGCCAAATCACAACAAATGTCGCCTCAAGGCGCTCACTGCTCTGTCTCTGCAGTTTGATGTGACAGAGGTTCACTTTACTTCTGTAATCCTGCCATCCGCTCTCCATCACTCCACTCTACCCAGGGGATTTGACTGCCATTAAGAGATGGCTTTTTGATGTGTGTTTTCCATCATAAACGCAGACAGGCACACGCACGCGCATTTGGTGAAGTGGGGTGGATGAAGGGTAAAAAAATGCAGCATTTTTTGTTGGAGAACCGTGGCAGGCAGAAGCTTCTGCTCAGCTCGCTCAGTGATGCTGTTGAAGGTGCCCTTTGTGGACTGACATGGGATGGACACATGCATGACTATTTGGGCAGTGACGTTTGGTACACATGGATGCAACTTTGTGGAAAGAGCTACAGGTATGTTGCTTTGAATGTCTTGGATTTCCTCTGTGATTTGCTGTAAATTTAGCATCGCTGTAAAGACCGACTGTCTGTGGTTTCCTGTCGTTAACAGATAAAACTATCCAACCACACTAGATCATCTAAAGATCTCCAGCAGCATTTGTATAACTCATAATTGTTCATTAAGATCTCTCTTTGTGCCATTTCAGACCTCCGTTAATCCTGGCATGTCCCAGATGAGCGGCTATGACTGTCATCATTTTCACTGGTCAGTCTCAATCTCTTCTCTCTTCCACTGTTTCTGGGCTTGTTTGGCTTAGTTTCTTCTCCTGCTTTCAGAATTGCTGTGGCTCCATCGAAGACTGACCGATCAAACTGCAAGGCAGGGCTGAATTCGAGCTAATGTGAACCAGATCAAGAGTGAAAGCACAGGCGCAGACAATACTTATTGTTGTGGAGCTAATCTCTGATATAAGATCGTCTTTCTTAATCACATCATCGTTTCAGACAGCCAGTTTAGCCTTTGGGCCACACATCGACGTGACTCAAACATCTAGTCTTTAGTTAAGCAGCAGTGTCCTGCTGTGGATGCAAAATCTTTTTAATATCAAAGATGCATTTATTTATTTTTAATTCATTATATCTTTTTATTTACTGGTGATCAGTGTTG